AAAGCCAGCATTATTCTCAGGAATGTCCTTTCCTGGGGGAAAACCAATGCCACAAACTCAGGGGTGCTTCCCCCGAGTTCCTCTTCCATCAGCATCCCCAAGGGTTTGGTGGTCACAGGGAATTACAAACCCCTGTTTTGTGCCCTGCTCTCCATGCTGCCCACAGCTCCCAGGAATCCTGCTTGTCATTGCTCCTCTGCAGCTGTTTGCACGTGTAACCATGAACAGATCATCCTACCCCCGTGCCTCAGTTTCCCCTGCAGCGTGGGGACACTGACACCGGTCCTTGTGGGATGAGAGGATGAGAAGTGCCCTTGGAACACAGATACTAGCACATCCTCTGGTATATCCCCTCTGCTAGCTGATCTTGTTCTTGCAGGACTCCAAAAGATTTTAGGTCCTGTAGAATTAGTTCTGGAAGTGTTAAAAAAGAATGTTTTGTGGTGTTTTCTTAGACCAGGAGGTGATTTCCTCGTGGGATGACCTTCAATCTGTTCTGTCATTGCAATTCTGCTTGTTCCCAGCCTGGTAAACAAGGATAACTATTTTAAAAGGAACATTGAGGATTCAGCAGCGACTGCTTAAAAGAAACCTTGCAAGCATGTGCCAGCCTTTTGAAGGTCAGGGCTGCTCACAGCAGCTCTGCTCAGGGATCCCCTTAGCAGACACCCAAAATCCTCAATCTGGAGCTGGTCTCATCCTCAGAGAGGGACTCTGCTGCTCTCCACCATCCCCAAGAAAGCCTTTAAAGGCTACAGAATTAATTTTAGCTGGAGTTTTGCAGTGTGCTGTTTACTGAGTGCATCTCCTGCCCTCCCTCCTGGGCTCGAGTTCCCGGTGCCTGGCACTGGCAGAGGGAAGGGGCCGTATCAGGTGCCAGGAACACTCTGCAAGTTTAATGAGGCTGAAAGGAGGCAGATTCAGCTCAGCATGATCTCTTCTGCCTTGTTCCTCTCCCTCACTCACAGAGCCAGGAGCACTGGGGTTATTTTGGGCTTTCTTCACTTCCTTTTGTATCAGTGGAGACCCAAACTTGGCTCTTTTCTGCCCATCTCTGGTGGAGCTGCACAGAACCAGCAGTAAGTGGCAGAGGCTGGGTTCACCTCTGCTGTATTTATTATTTGCCTGTGTGCAAGTCATGTTTTTGCTGAACTCGCCCAGAGGTGGAACTGCTGGCACTGCTCATCCACCTTGGGACAAAGCAGTAGTAATTCCTTGGCACATAAAATCCAGGTGAACATCCTGGACTCCATGTAGAAGCAAATGTTCTACACAAGAGAATTTATGGCTGGAGCAGCACTCAGAGCAGAAGAATACCAGAGGAAAGCTCTTCCCTGCGTTCCAGGTTCCTTTTGGGCCACCAGATCTTTCCACTCACCATCCTGTGCAGCCCTGCAGTGCCCACAGGTGCTGGCCAAGGGCAGATAGGGTTGGTCATGGTGGTCACTGAAAGCCTCTTTCTTTCCAGCCTGTGCCTTTGCTGGTCTCTGGAACTGTGTCACCATCAACCCCCTGAACATCGCGGCCGGCGTGTGGATGATGTGAGCAGGCTTTCTTCTCATTTTCCTGCTGGGAGGGAGGTTTTGTTAACCAGACCCCACTGAGTGGGGCAGAGCTGCCCTGCTTGGGCAGTGGATGGGAGTGAAACATCCATCAGGCACTGGGAATTGCCAGATCTTGCTCCATCAGGCAGGTTGAGGTGTTAGTTTTATTCTGTTTGTATTATTTCTTTATGCATATTTAGGTAAATACTGAGATACCCTTGGCCAAAATAAGTCTGGGGCAGCAGGGCTTGGAAATTTGGAAATTATCAAGAAGTGGGGGGGAGCCTCACCATTCCCTTCACCTGCATGGAGCACGGAGTGTCTGCTGTCTGTGGGACTGGGGGGCACTGCTGAGCCCTGCTGTGGGTGGTTCAGAGGCAGGATTAACTCTTGTTTGCTCTCTCTGGAGGCTCAACGCCTTCGTCCTGTTCCTGTGTGAGGCCCCTTTCTGCTGCCAGTTCATCGAGTTTGCCAACACCGTGTCCGCCAGGGCCGACAGGCTGCGGGCCTGGCAGAAAGCAGCTTTCTACTGCGGGTGAGGGATGCTCCTGGGGCTGCTTGTGGGCACATGCTGGGGAAGGAACATCCCTGCATCCTGTGGGGAGTGGGGCTGAGGGCTGCTCCTGTCTTCCAGGATGGCTGTGTTCCCTGTCATGCTCAGCCTGACGCTGACCACGCTCTTCGGCAACGCCATCGCTTTCGCCACCGGGGTGCTCTATGGTCTGTCGGCCCTTGGAAAGAAGTAAGAGAGGCCCAGCTGCTCGTGGAGGGCAGGGAAGGGGGAGATGGAGCTCCAGCCCTTGCCCCATTTGCCTCGCTAAGGCTTTGCCTTCCTCTTGCACAAAGCGTGCTGAGGTGTAAGTGCGGCCAGAGGAAACCTCCCTCATCTCAGAGCCCTGGGAGGGAAGGTCCTGGGGGTTGCTGAAGCTCTGAGCTTTTGGGAGTTCAGAGCAGCTTGTCCTGAGGGTCCCGCTCTTCTTTCTGCAGCTGTTGGGTGGATGGGCCCAGCTTTGGGGCAGAGAGCAGCTTTGGGGGTTGGAGAGGGCCAGCAAGAGTGGTCTCACTCCTGGAATCCTTTGACACGGAGAGCCAGGCTCCAGCTGGGACAATATATATAACATATCCCTGCTGTCCCTTCTCTCCACAGGGGAGATGCCATTTCCTACGCCCGCATCTACGAGCAGCAGAAGCAGATGGATGAAGAGAAGCTCACGGGGACCCTGGAGGGACAGGCTCTCTGAAGGACACAAGCTTGGGGTAGCATCTCCTGGACACGGAGATGGTGAAGACGTGGAAATCCACCCTGCCCTTCCTTCTGTCCTCTCACTCCTTGCTACACCACGATTTCCCTGGATGCTGCAGCAGCTGGAAATCTCAGGGGCTGGGGCAGGCTGTGTCCTCTCCTCAGACCAGCAGCCAGACCTCAGCACACTGCTCCTTCTCTCCTCAACCCTCAATCCAACAGCTCACAGTGCCCCTGGTTTTCAATATATATATATTTTATTTTTTTTTCTTTTTACTGCAGAGGTGCTGGCTCTCTGAGTGCTGCTTTCCCAGCCTTGTTTTGGTTTTTTTTGAGTGCTCCTTTGGGGACTGCCCTCTGGATGGGAGAGGAGGGACAGAGGACCTGCCAGTGCAGGTCCCACATGTTTAGGAACGCTCCCTGGGATTGCCCTTCCCAGGTACAATACCTGACCCAGGGTTAGGTGTTTGCAAAACCTCCTGGTGCTTAACCTTGGTCTTCTTCCACTATTTTAATTATAGGGCCAGGCAGTAGAGGCATCACTGCACAGGAAAGAACTTCCAGCAAAATCCCATCTAAAGATAAAATCCATCTCTGCAGGGGAGCTGGGCAGATCCTGGGATCTCCAAAGCATCGTCCCTGCTTCCTCTGGATCCAGCTGCAGGCAGTTACTGCAATTTACTTGAATTATAAGAATTAATTACTTTGTCTTAATAAGGACACTTTTCTTAAGCTTTACTCTTACTGGGGCGGAAGGGAAACAATATTTGCTGTACCTCAGCTGAAAAGGATGTTGTTTCTTGAGCCAAGTGGGATTTTTTGCTGGTGTGAGGGCCACTGATGTACAAGAGCATTCCTGCCTTGTGAGCCTGGAACTCTGCTCTGTCACCTCCCTGCATCCCTCTGTGGAGGGACCTGCTCTTTTCTTGCCTGGTACAGCCTTTGTCTTTGGGACTGTGTTTTTTTGCATCAATCCTGAGCTGGTTTTGTATGGGAAGGTGGCACATCCTCCCTGTGCAAACAGAGAGGAGGCTGCACCATTTCAGTGTGGACAGCTGGGATGTTTTACTTTGCTATTCCAGGCTCTTTCTGTGGTTTTCAAATTGTATTTTCTGTTTGCTTTGTACCATGCAGTACAAAACTGCTCACTAATTCCAGATCCCCCTCTTCTCATTACAGTTTGTCCTGGGGATTTTAATTTATTTGATTTTTATTTTATTTTTATATGGTTGCTTTTTGTTTTGATTAGGAAAAAGGGGAATAATTTATTTCTAGTTATTGAAGTATTTTGATGGGACTCATTTTCTCTGGATATAGGAGAAAGGAGTGCTCTGTTTCCTGTCCTTCACAGGGCTGCCTCTTTTCACCAGGGGTCTCTGAACCCAGGGACAGCCCTGTCTGCTGCAAAATCCAATTTTAGCCTTCAGAGTGTTTCTCAGACTCTTCAAAAAAATGTGTGTTGTCCTTTGACCCCTTTGTCTTGTTCTGGGCCACAAGCTTGACAAACTGTGTTTTCCCCCTCTTCTGGGAGAGAGGAGGGAGGAAAACTGGGCTGTGAGTGCTGGATTGGAGCAGCCAGCAGCACTTTGTGTCCCCATTTGAATCCTTGGGTGCAGAGGGGTTGTGCTGTGCTCTGAGAAATGCTGCTGGAGGCCGAGTGCTGCCTGTCAGGGGGGTCTGTCCATGCTGAAAACTCTCCTTAGACCCTGCCCTTCCTCAAGCTGCTGGCTCCTGTGAGCTGCTGCTTCTTTCCTGGAGCTCAGGAGCTGTGAGGATTCCCACCAGTCAGGATTTCCAGAGGCCCCTGCAGCTGGATGTGGGCACTCCTTTTATGCAAAGCCCCTTTCCCTCCTGCCTTTGAACTGGGATTGCTCCAACACCCCTTGTCTGGGATGCAGAGCAGGCACCACCAGCCTGGATTTTTTTCCATAAAGGCAGCTTTTTTTTCCATAAAAGCTGTGCTGGTTTGGAGCCCCCAGCCCTTGGCTGATCCCTGGTGCTGACTGCAATGCATTGGCCCACAGCCTCCTGCTGCCTGCAGGGATGGATGCTGCAGGAGGGATGTGGGATACTCCAGTGGGAATAACCTCTGGGTGATGCAAGGGCAGAATCCTGCCTCAGGGCTGAGCACGTGCTGGGATTTCAGGGGGTGTGGGGATTTGTGTAGTGTTTAGTAGAGGAATGTTGCAGACCGATGCATGTCAATGTCTCTGGTAGTGACAGCTTTGCTCTGTGAGTAGTTCTGCAGTAGCTTTAGTGTCAGGAGGTGAAAGGCAAAGCAGAGCTCAAGGGCTGAGACTTCCAGGGTGCTCTGAGGAAGCACAGAACTGGTGGGACCCTTGCTGGCCTCATCTGTCGCTCCTGCCACGGTCCCTGGGGCTGCTCCGGGGCTCCTTGGCATGGGCAGGGTCCACTCTGCTCCCTGGCAGCCTGGCAGAAGTCCCAGCAGAGCTGTCACGGTGTTTTGTGGCAGCAGGGCCTGACTCTGGGGCTGGGGCATGGGAAAAATCTGCACCAATCTGCCACCACGGGCGGGTGGCAAAGCTCAGCCCTGAGCTGAAAATACCCCAGGGACTCCCCTGAAAGAGCTGAGCTGGAGCCTTTGGCCACAGTGCTTGAAGTGTCTGTGCCTGTCACAACTGGAAGTGTCTCAGATCCGTGCTCCAAGGGTGGTTACTCCTACAGGGGCCAGTCTGGAGTGGGAACCCTTGGGAATTTTGGCTGTCTGGTGAAGCTGGAACCAAGCAAGATGCTGCTGTCATTGCAGACAGGCTTGGTGACAGCACCCATGGCTTGCAGGAGCTGTGGTGACAGTCAGTGAATGGTCTCACCCCAGTGTGGGCCTGTTTGGTGGAGATAGGAAGGAGCTTTAGAGTAGTAGCATCACAGTAGTTAAATGCCAGTGCATGGTGGTTGTTGTGTTTAGAGGCACCCACAGGGTGCCTGGAGCTGTGCAAAGACAAATGAAGTTCAAACCCTGCTCTGGAGGTTTCACAAGCTCAACCCAACCCCTGCTGAGGGCATCCAGGCTGGATGGCTGATCCACAGGGGCTCTGTGGAGGAGGTTCTGCTCTCCAGGCCTTGGAAAGGAGATGATGTGAGGGTTTGGGGCGGGTGATGCGCTGAGGACATCGAGCTGTTGGCACTGAGAGTGGAAGGAGCCCTGGGGAGCAGTGGCCAGTCACATACCAGTCACCAGGGCAGCATTTATGCACTGTGCCACTCTTCCACACCTCTGGCACTCGTGTGTGGCAGCTCCAAGTCCCCTGGGCTGCCCACGGGGCGCGAAGAGCAGAGCAGAGCTCGCTGCTCTGGGCAGGAGCTGCTTTTGTAACACCCATTGATTCTCTGTGTGTGCAGTGAATAAAAACACCATTCTACCTCTGGAAAGGGCCACTGTGATTTCTCAGATTCCAAACGTAGCAAAAGCCCTCGGACTTGCTGTGCTGAAGAAAGGAGGTCATTCAAAAAATGCTCCTCCAGTGAGGTTCTCTCAGGAGCTGAAGAGTCCAACCTCATTTCCTAGTGGGGCATTTCCTCCTTAGGCTGAGCCCTGGGAAGCTCAATTCATCTCTGTAATTTTTTCCTCAGGAAAAAACATCCACTGTCTTCAGGGAAGGGTTTCACTGAAGTGAAGATATCAAGAGCTGGTCCATAGCCATGTGAGAAAGAGAATGCCAGAAATCCTGATCTTCAGAAGGTCAGTGGAAACCAGAGGCTCTTGAGACCTCTTGTAGTCAGGCCATGCTTAGAAAAAGTTGTGTTCCAGCCAGGGCTGAACATCTTTCTGGAAAATGGTCTCAGCAGCAAAGGGTAGGTTTAATACTGAATGTTTTCTGTGTTTTTGATTTTGGCCCACCGCTCTGCCTCAGTCCTAGGCTGTTTTAAATTAATGCTGTGATAAAGCACATCTTCTCTTAGGTGATTTCTCATCTCCTGCTGCAGGAGATCAAAATGGCAGCTGGCACATCTGGAGGGCTGGATCAAACATGCTGTTTCACCTCCTGCTTCCTTGTGACAGCAGGCTGAATGTCCCAGGAATAGCCCTTGAGGTGCCAAGTGCATTTCAGGAGCTCGAGTACATCATGTCCCAGCTCAGCCTTTGTGCTTCTGCCCTTTTGGGAGGAGTCAGATTGGACTGAGCAAGGCCATTTTTTCCTCACAGCCATAACCACCTCCTGCAGCTGTGTTTTACCTTGGGTTAGCTCTAAAAAAATAATTATTAAAAGTTCTTAATCTTGCAGGACACGCAGGAAAGGGGTGAGACTCATTTGCTACTAACTATGCAGTTGCAATCTCAGAGTGATGGAGGTGGAGGCACATCCACCTCCCTCTTTGTGGGTGGGTCAAACCCTAGGTGGGAAGGACCCACCCCAACACAAAGTGTTGTCAGTACTCATTGTGTCTTTCCCACAGGGAATCACTTGCACTACAGCTGAATGTTTGTCTGTTCTTCTGTCCTGGCTTTTTGTGAACTGTATTTGGTCTTGTTCATTAGGCTTCTAGTGTAATGTGTGTTTTTAGACCAATAAAATGTGGCAGCTTTTTGTATAAAAGATCTGGCTCTGCCTCTTTCATGGTCCTTGAGTGCCTGAGACTCCTGTGGGGAGCTGCAGGCTGCTGTGGTCCCCTCATCACAGTCCTGCTCTGCCCCTCCCATCCCTCCCTTCTCTGCAAATCAAGGCAATATCTTGCAGTTGGAGGCAAAACTGTTTTATTCTTGCAGCTACATGATGAGCTTTTGCTGGAACAGCTCCAGCTGTAAATTCAGCTCCAGCCAAACCCTCAGACTCTCAGGCTGCTGAGCAAAGGACAACCGTGGTTTCCTGTCACAGACACACAGTTATTCTTACAGGATGCCTTTATCTGCAGCCTGGCCCCGGTGACCTGCTCCCATCCCAAGGATTGGCAGGTTGTGCAGAGAGCAGCAGGCAGTGTTGGGTGACAGGAACAGAAGGTAAAGTTCCTTCTGGCAACTTCTACAGCCAGAGCAAGACAATCCTTGCTGCCCCTTCCTCTCCCACAGGGAGCTCCAGCCTCCATTTCCAGCAGCACACGTTTGTTTTGCCCTCCAGCCTGGGCAAGGGCAGCTCCTACCTCAGGAATGACCTCCGGCTGGTCCTGAAAAAGGCCTCGATCTGCTCCAGGGACCTGCCTTTGGTTTCAGGGACACAGCAGCCTGTGAATAA